CCCCACCCCTATCCCAACCCAACATTGAGTCATTTGTGTGTGCGCAGGTGAGCGAAATCTGTGTGCGAGGAAACATGCATTGTTTAAAGAAGAATGTAATCGATGTGTGCGCAGCTGAGCGAACCCTGAGTGCGCAGGTGCGTTAAATGTATCATGCAAGGCTGTGTGCGCAGCTGAACGAATCTTGTGTGCGCAAGTGAGGCGCCGCTCCCACTGCCAGGAATGTTTGCCTCCAAGTCAAAAATCCAGCTCAATGGTTTCGAGTGTTCGACAGCTTCCCAGATCTCTACCAAAATGTTTTCTTTTTTAACTTACAATTTTCCACACCTTCCTTGACAAAACACCTCCAGCACCCACAAAATTCCATGCTGTTTATTGCCAGCCAGCTTCAACTGCATCTTCACATAGGCTCCGCTGACGGCCCCGTGTTCAACTCCTTTCAATTTCATTCTTCTCACATGCGCAAGAACCGTTCCAGTCCGTACACCTTCAAGTGCAGCAAACACCATGCTATGCGCATACACGAAAACTTGTGACACCATGGCCAGCCACCATCCCTTTGTGAGCGATCTCCTGGAACAGGATGGGGTTTCACCAGGCCGCCGGTCTCTCAGTTTTCGCCGTGATATTTTCTCAGGGACCCGTGGCCTGCACGCGCCTCCCCCCGCGGCAGGGCTACGGTGGACCAGAAGCAAGGGCGCACGAAACATTGACAGCGCACAACAACAAGGGTTGTCGGAATATCGAGCAGGAACCTGTCATGCGCAAAACGGGGGAATAATTCCAAGCAGAGAAAACCAAACCGTTAGCAACGTGAAACACGCAGGCACTTTGTCCCGTATAAATTGCAAGTTTGAGGGCGGCTTTGTTGATTCAAGGCGTGTTTGCCGGCTTATACATGTGGTTTTTTGCGTTCAGCATGGTCAGGGGTAATTGAAACAATTGACACAAATCATGCTCAAACTTGTGCCCATGCCGATGGGATCAAGCCATGTGGGCTAGGATAGGTGCGGCATGGTTGCTAGGTTGAGAGGTTGTGGGGATGGCTGAAGTTTCTTCTCGTTGACAGGCTGGGCTTTCAGACTTCGGGAACTGCCAGGGCTGTGTATGAGCACCGCGCCGCCGCCACAAAACGGTGCATACAGTGCAACCAATGGCAACCAATGGCAGCCAATGATTTTGTTATGGGAGGGCAACGGGCGTAGGAAACGATCGTGCATGCGGGCACGCCGTCTATTCTTCTTCATCTTTGTGTTGGACAAAAGATTTGGCAACCGAAAAAAACCGTGGATTTTTGTTCACCTCGGTGTGCTTCCGGCCCATGGAGCCAGGATGTTGATGCTGCATGATGTGGCCGGACTCAAGCAGGCGTGGCCGCCCTGGGCCGACGAAGCCCCCAAAAAAGCGACCAAAAGAACAGTGCCATGAGGCCGAGGCCTGGGAATGTGGCGTGAAGCTGGGTTCTCAAAAAGTTAGCAAGGTCCCCCTCCGATTTCTTATTCCTTTTCTTGTGGATGGTTTGACATCATTCAATATCATGGTGTCAGTGGGTGTGGACTCGTCCGGCTCCGATTGGAAGCGCCGACTCGTCCAATGTGCTTAAGCGGCCCAAGCTGCAGGTGAAGCCTCCAGCAGGTGGACATTTCGGCAGTTTGTTGTTCATAAATCACACAGAAGATGACCCTGTACAACAACCTTGGAATGGAGCGGGGCAACATTTCAATGAACAATTACTTTTTTTGGACTTTTAGTGTGTAGGGGCAGGAGCGACGTAGTTTGTGTAGGGCAATTTAGTTTCATTGGCGAGTTGGACGAGCATGCAGGGCAGAACAATTTAATGTGTACGATTCGAAAATCAGGTCGAAAACCCGAACAAAATCTTTGTGCCTTTGCATGGGGCAATGGCGCAGAGCGCTGCTTGCCGTCCCAGTTTCTTTAGCACTGTCCCTATCTAAGTCCGCATGGACGAAATTGTAAGCTCAAATGGTCTAGTGAGCATTTGGGATTTCATTGGCAGCTTGGCACACATGGGGGGTATGTGGGTAGTTGCTTGCGTCTTGTGTGAGAGGCATTTCCAGGTGTTGCTGCGTGTCATTTGCGTATACTTCAAATATGGAGGGGTATGATGATCCATCAGCATTGGTCGCCTCACAAATCAAATCACAACCTCGTCAAAATTATGGTCTTGACGCGTTTGTCAGTTCACTTTGGGCTAAGAAACGAGTGACGAACCGATTCACACCCACCACTTTAATAGCTTCTTTGCCTGGATCTTCACCACTGAATGTGGTCAGAAATCGGATCTCTTTGAGATCATTTTTTGCCGAGGGTTTTGGGCGATGGCGAGTTGGTTTGTGTTTTAGTTTGAGCCGTCGACAGCTGAGGCGAAGAAATCGACAGTGCGTCTTCCCGAGGCAGCAGCCCAACGGCTGAGCTGCAGGGGCTGGAGGACAGGCAGACAGCAGCTTCTGGCAGACTGGAGTTCGGTGGCAGCTAAAAGGGCGAAAAAGAGGTTTTGCAGGTTGCAAGCTTGACATGGGTTTCCAACTGCTGGTCGCAATGTTTTTGAACCTGGTGGCCACGGTCGAAGACAGTATCCTCATCAAATGGGGACGAATGGCGTTCGCTCAAACTCGCCGGGTTGGCGCATCACCGTCAGGACATACCAGCTGAAGACTTCGAAGAACCTTGTGAAGCACTGGGCACTTCAGGCACAGTTCTGTGGGTTGGTGGCCTGGACGTTCGGGTCAACCCCCAGGAGAGAGGTCGTAAGAGAGAGGCTGTGCACCCCATGTTTTGTTTTCCTTTTGTGGGCCTTACGAAGGAGGCAGGTAGGGGTTTGCAGGAATATGCATGAATTGTGATCATGACTGAAAGATTTTGAATGGTGTGTAGGTACGTGGTGGGATCTTCGGAGGAGGCCTAGGGCCTAGACTTGGCCTGACTCTTCAAGAACAGGGTCCATTGAAAAACGTAGAGCCGCATGCAGCAAGGAGGTTGGAGTTCAAGTTGGTGGACTACTGCAATCATCTCCACGGCAGATTCGTTCCCACGCTTGGAACACTTCAGGGTTTCATTGTCAAGTCATATCACATATAGAATACGAAGTCGCCCGGGACATGCACCTCTTGCCGTGCCCATCAGTTATCTCTAAATTTTCCCGAACCACCTTGGCCCGATAGGAGAAGGAACCCATACTGTGGATGGTTGGTGCTTCGACCAGAAGGTGTTTTCAGTATGGAAGTCTTCTGTGGTTCGGTCGCTTTGTGCTTTGTAGGTCCACCCTAATCAGTTGAACCCGCCAGGCGGCACAGCTGCTTTTTATCGGCTTCGCTACCGATCCGATCGCGCGCCGAACGGCGTGCCCTTGGACTTCTTTATTGGAAAAGATTTAGCGCATGCGAGCGCCTTGGATCATGCGAAGTGAGGTGCGTCAGGTGCGAAGTGTCCCGTGGTTTCTTCTTTTCCTTGTTGGACCCCGGTATCCAAAGAAGGTCCAACGTGCGAAGTGTTTTCTTTTTTTTCTCCCCGTAGTTTCGGAACGGTGACGTGGCCGACCGGCCGACCTTCTTTTTCGGAGCTTGCCGAGCTTTCCTTCTGTGGCTTTCCCAGCTTTGGAGATGGGAATGCAAAAGGTGCTCCAATCATTTGGGCCATTTGGGGTTTTAAACCAATGTGCGTTGACTGCTCTCAGGCAGCGCCCGCCGAGCACATCTAGTGGGGCCACCTGAAGTCGACGTTCATCGATCTTGGCCCCCAAAAAGCCACCAAACCACAACGCCCTTTGCTTTGACGAGCCTTCTCCCCCCCAGGCCCGGGCGCCTTTACGGGAGTGTCGCCGGCGGGTGTCCACTTGTGGAGCGCGGAGTGTGGCCCTGAGTGCCGAGGTGATGAGGTGGAGTTCTATGCCAAGCTCCGCTGGGCGGTGCAGACGAGCGACGCCTGGCGTCGCTTTGGGCAGCGGGCCATGTCCTGCCCGGGCGTCGCGCGCCTGGAGTGCGTGAACCCGAAGACGCAGGCGACTGGATGTGAAGCCCGAACCAGCTCCCGTGGTGGTTCATGGTTTCTTGCCGGCCAGGAGAGGAGCCGGCGGGCGATTCTGCTGCTGGAGAATCTGCGGCAGGGCTTCAGCCAGATGAGGTTGTTGGACCTCAAAATGGGTGCTGAAACCAGCGTGGCCTGCTGGAAAGGTCGCTTGGCCCCAAGTTTCGAGACACTGAACGGATCCGTTTGGGGTGAAGGTTCCAGCGAGCGTTGCTTTGAGCTAATCTATTGAAAGACAAGAATTAGTTGATGGATTTGCATAAGCTGTTTTTTCTACATACTATAAAGGATGTTAAACAAGCATATTCATTTGCTGTACAAGGTGTGACTTCTAATGAACAATTTAAATCATTTTATAGGTATGTATTGCATTTCATACCTTTGTTTTTAATACATTTAGTGTCTCCTTACTTTACTTGCAACCGTCTCCTTCCAGGGGTGCTGGAGGCAGGGCTGCCCAATCTCCACTCACTACCATGACTAGTGGGACCACTTTCCCATTGGCGGCCACTAGTGGCCCCCAACTGATGCTACTGTCCTGCCGGGTTCCGAAGGCGCGTGCCTCCAAGCAACCCTTGACTCCTTCGGTCCTAGGCAAGAGTCGGCTGAACGCGTGGAAGAACTCCTTGGTGGACCAACGAACGAACAGCGCCTGTGAGGGCTTCCGTTTGGAGGGCATTGAGGGCCCCCCGGAGGGCTTGGAGGAGCGGATGCGGCAGGTGGGACTCGGTCGGGTCGCGAGAGGGGAAGTCTCTGGTTGATGTGGAGGTAAGCTTCAAAATAAGCTTCATTCAGCACATGATAAGTCTACTTGCATGCATTCGCATTCATCGAGCCACTTTCTTAGCACGCTTACTTCACGTGTGAAGTCTTTGACCTCTTGGTCCGTGGCTCCTGGTCGTGACTCATGGGGTCTTGAAAGGAGATGTTCACTCCCCAACCGATTCAGCCGCCCCTTCCTTGTGGCCAGATGCTTTCCAAAGCTTTTTTGCAGCCGTCCTTCGGTCACGCCAAAATCACACAGAACGAAAAGACACCGTCCATGGCGTGTGTTTCTCTAACGAGTGGTGCCACCCGTTTTTCAGGTGATGGAAGGAGTGGCCAGCTCCAAGTACGTCTCACCGAAGGTGATCAAGCGCTTCACTCTGCAGAGGTCCGGCGGGTCGCTTCCGCGGGGCGGGGGCCGAAGAGCTGAACGGAATCGGAACGGAGGTCTGTTCGCGGAATCGAGGTACTGATGACCTAGAGGCCTGGTCTCAAAGGCGACCAGTGAACCAGACACCATGGTGAAGTCCATCATCTCAGACTCGCTCTGGCATTCAGGGCGGGACGTTTCTGTGGACTGAGTGGAAGGGATGCAGGATGATGTAGGGTGGTGTGGGTGATCAGTCAACGGTTTTGATGGGATTTGGATGAGTGACTTCTCCAAAAGTCCGAGTATTTTGGAAGTAGCATGTAGCCAGGACCGGTAAGAATACTTTGTTTGAGGGGCAGCATCTTGGCCGGGAGAACCAACACCCCCAGAAATTAGAAGAAACTCTTCTTCGGCCAGTGTCCAGATTGATTGATTTGAACCTTAATGCTTGAATCGATTCACACTTGAAGTCACCGTGACCGGCAGAGCTCGTGGCGCACCTTGCCCGCGCGTGCCAGGCTCCGGGCCGCCGAGATCCTGGAGTTCTGGCTGGACGTCTCGCATTTGGGCGCCGGCGGCGCGTTGCACGCGCAGCGCGCGGCGCTCCGAGCCTTTGAAGACGTGGGCAGCTTGCTGCAGGCGGGATCATGTGACCTTCTTGGTCTCATGGGAAGTAGGCAGAAGATGGCTGATGGCCATAGTTCAGCATTTGCTTTTTGTCGCCCTCTCCCCCCCGGTGGGTCAACCCGTTTCATCACGTGGCGTCGAGGCCGTGCTGGGTTTGGAGGTGCCACAGCAGTGGATTGGCTCTTCCGTGGCGCTGGCCGTGGAGATGGGCGCCCTCCAGGCGGAGCCCAAGGTGGGGAGCCCAAGATCAGGAAAGACTGACGTGAAGACATGTTGGGAGGGTGCCCGGTTTCTCCCACTTAGACTTGTTTATTTTTTCTTGCGTTCCTGCACTTGGGATGATGATGATGATGATGATGATGATGATGTTTCCGACTTGGGAATGGCGGGTCCACCAAAATATGGGGCTTGCACTCATCAACTGAGGGGCACCCCAACCATCCGGGAAATGGCATATTTCAATCAGAGCACGACGCTGGCGATCAGGATTCTCACCGAGTTGCCTGAGGTTGCTGTGAAGGTCTTCGATTGGGGACGTGCTGAGTTGAACACCGTCACCGAGTTCGCTTACTTGCAGCCACCAGAGAAGGAGAGACGTCGAGACGTCGAAGGGGCGAATGATGAGAGGTTGCGAACCTTGGGGAGGCAAGTTGGTGTGTAGTGGTCAAGTGATCCTTTTGGATGAAGTCTGCCAGCAACCCGGTGGAATGAACATACAGATTTCAATTTCCTCTATTGGGGTTCTGATGCTTCAACTTGATGCTTCAATCTGGCAGGAGAGCAGGGCCCATTACTGGAAGCAGTACTTGCGTGCCTTGGGGCGTCTCTATTGGGAGCTGGGCCGTGTGGTCCTTCATCGTTGCTGCTCTTGGGCCTGGAGCGTCTTGGTCTTGGAGCTCCGCAGCCTCTCGCCCACCCTGCTGCGCGCCGCGCTCTTGGGCGAGCAGGCCAGCACCGCCCGGAGCGTGACGCACTGCATGGGCCTTCTGCAGATGGATCCTCGCGGCGGTGCTGGTGAGGTCTCCCTGCCACTTCTGGGACGCCCTGAGCAGGGCTCGTCTCGAGAATCGAGCACCTTCGGCCTGGTGGGGATGCTACGGATGCACGTGCACGCGCCTGTGGAAGGGGTGGGGACCTGCCAAGTTCGGATCCAAGAAGTGGAGACCTGGTGATGTGATCGGATCGGTTTTCCTTTATTTTTGGTGCAGACTTCTCTCCCGTGGGAAGGTTGAAATGTTGAATCTTGTGCACCTTCATCATGGATATATCCAGATGTCATCCCAAGGAGAGTGATTTGGACGCCTTGGGTTTGAGCAGCTCGCTCATCATCACTGTTAGAGCCCTGGCCTTCGAGCGTGCGGGGGATGCTCGGGTCTACTTGGAAGCCTTCCAGATCCTTGGACAAAACCGGAGACGTGAGGCGTTCTTTGTCCAAAACACCTGGGTTGGGAGTCGGGAGAACAAGTGGCTAGAGGGAATCACGGGAGGCCAGGCGTCCGCGGTCTCGTATTCCAGCACTGCTCAAAGGGCGGTTATTGGAGGGAAAATGCATGGTCAGGGGAGTCTCTCAACAACTCTTGGGGTGGTGCAGGAATGTGCAGGAAGAAACCTGCCGACCTTCCACGCAGGGTGGAGCTTGGCGGCCTGAGGTCTGAGTGCCCTGCGCCCCTCCCGCGTGGCCACGTCTGCGCACAGAGCACTCCACCTGGACGTTTTGGACCGGGGCGCCTGCGCTGGAAAACCAGCTGCTTGGAGTTCCGCGCCGGCGCTGCTGAGGAGGCCTGGGCCAAGCTACGCGAGGCGGGGATGCGGAGTTTGCCGGCGTGGGCAGGTGGACTCGCTGCGTCGAAGGTGGGCGGCATGGCGAAGATCATGGGGAAGGTGAAGAAACAGCGCAACACCTTGGAACTTGCCCCCTAAGGGGCTTCTATTGATAGCCCCTTAGATGTTAAGGGGTGTCCATTAACCACCCCATGTGGGTCCATTGGTCCCAGGCTTTTTGGAGCCTTTTTAGTACTTGGGGTGTTTTCAGCCTTGGACCCCCTTGGACGCGACCGCTCCGCTCCGCGACACCCTGACGAAAACACCTTGCCGGAGGGCCCTTTGAGTCGCTTCGCCGCTGCCGAGCACCTGCCACCCAGCGTGGCCTTGCCAGAAGAGGTGGATGAGAAGGCTCAACACTTCCTGAGGCCGGGGGCGAACGGCGGAAGTGGATGGGGGCGGTTTTTTGGATGCAAATGTCGAGGTAGTTCCCTGCAGGTCCAAAGACCTACTAAAACCTGGTCCTGAAAACCTCGTTGAGCAGTGAGAGTGTTTTTGTATGACCAGGTATGACCATATAATTATCTTTGACCTGTAGGGAAGTGATTACGTAACCTCACCCATGTCCCCACCCATGTTTCGCAGACCTCCAGGGGAAGGTTTGGGAGTCAACTGTCGGCATTCGCCAGGCACTTGCTGCCCTAGTGCCATGCCTGACTTGTTTACTGAGGCTCCGGTCCCAGATTGTACATAGACCATCCAACTTCGCTTTGCGCATCGCATCGTCAAAAAGAAGCCCTTGCGCAGTGCTTGATAGTCTTGGGGCGTGGACGCATCGCTATCACTTCCTCAGATGGATCCCACCCCTAGGACAAGCACCGGTGTTCACGACCCGTGTGCTAACAAGCACGGCCACGGCTCGCATTCGAGGTCTTCTATGTTAATTAGCAATGTCCTTCGGGGTATGGTCAATCTGAGTCCAATCACAAAATGTGACCTACCCCAAGTACCTTGCGTCTACCACGTGGACGCATGTATATATATATATATACACTTTAAACAAGAATCTTTGTTAAAATCACTGATGGATTTGAACAAAGAGCTTCACCCCTCACCTAATCCTTTCAACTCAGCCCAAGCAGCTGGCGCCGTGGCACCAGGCCGAACCCCGAAAGGTGGCGTGCGGAAGTGCGTCGGGGGGGCCCAGCAGCATTAGCAGCACCCCAGCGGCAGTGCACCAGGATTCAAGCTTAGCTGCGCTTGACAGGAGTTGAGCAGCAGGTGGTAAGGTTGGGAGGGTGATCCTAACAGGCACGCTTGATGATTGTGTTTGCAAGTTTTTAGTTTCTCCTGGGTGCACGGCGCACGGGTCCTTACTGGCTCGAGCCACAACCTCCGAGCCTTCAACTCTCCATCTCCCCATTTTCCCCGTGCCTTTTGCATCAATGGCTTTGGTCGAGCCCAAGAAGGTTGCAGGTGGCGCTTTCGGGCAGTTCTTGGCTGAGAAACGCTCTGAGCTGCAGAAGGAGTTGCAAGGAAAGCCTGTGACGGAGATCACCAAGTTGGCCTCGGCCAAGTTTAAGGCTTTGACCGAAGAGGAGCGAGCCGTCTATCAGGAGAAGTATGTGGCTGCCAAGGCCAAGTATGATGCGGACCTGAAGGCATTCGAGGAAGCTGGAGGTGAGAGGAAGCAGCGCAAAACCAAGGGCAGCAAGAAGGATGGCAAGAAGAAGAAGGACCCAGATGCCCCGAAGCGCCCTGCCGGAGGTGCCTATGGTTGCTTCCTGGCCAAGAATCGCGCAGCTTTCCAGAAGGAGACCGCCGGTCAACCGATCACCGCGGTGACCAAGTTGGCCTCTGCCAAGTGGAGCGCGCTGAGTGCTGATGACAAGAAGGTCTTCGAGGATGAATACAAGGCCAAGAAGGAGGCCTATGACGAAGCCATGAAGTCCTACGTGCCCGTGCCGCGCGAGGACGAGGAGCCGCCGGCGAAGAAGCAGCGCTTGTCGAAGGAGGAGAAGGAGGCAGCCAAGCAGTCCAAGGCGGCAGAGAAGGGGGCCGCCAAGGCGAAGAAGGCGGACGCTGCCCCGAAGCAGGCCAGGGCAGGCCGCCCTACCCAGCCGAAGGCCGGCGCCAAGGGCGCCAAGGGTGTCGCCACCGACTCGGTGGAGCTGCAGGCGACGGTCCTGGCGAAGGCCGAGAAGGCTGGGATGACCGAGGCGCTGAAGAAGTTGGCCAACCGCGAGGATATCAAGGCCAGTGGGAAGAGTCAAAGCGCCATGCTCAAGGCTTTGGAGGAGAATCGTGGACTCGTGCATCCTGCCAAGCGAGCACTCTTGGGTGCATGAGATGTCCACAATCTTGACGTCGACCAATCTAGGGGTCGGCAATCGCAGGTTGAACACTCAGCCTCCGTGGTTCACTTGCCACGGGGTGCTGGCAGGTTCTTTTGGGAGCGATTGCCAGTTGTTCCAATTTGAACGGGTTCACCGCAGCGACATCCACGAAAGAGAGCTTGTGGCAGCAGTTTGTTCCGCAGGGTCTGATAGTTGGAAGTGAACACTGCGAATGGCTAGGCTGGTCAACTCCAACTCATCATGGAGGTGGGATACAGGAACATCGGAACATCTACCAGGGGTCACAAAGGGGTGGTTTTTAGTCCCTAAGTGAGTGGATAATGGGCAACCCCTATCCTCCAATAGGCACCCCTTTGTGACTCCTGGTGGTAACAAGTGTTCTTTGCCCCTGTCGCCCTTAATCCAGGTCATCCATCCAGGTTTTGACTCCATCTGAGTCCCCCTCCGTGCGTTTGTCCAAGGCACAGCCTTCTCCTGCTGAGGGCCGAAGGGGACCAGGACGCTGAGGAAAGAACTCAAGTCCTTGGTGTGGCTCCTGGAGAATTTGGGCAGATGAGTGGTAGAGCTAGGGCAGACATGCGACTGGTGGTACCAAAGGGACTGAAACCCATGTGTTGGTAGACAAGGAAGAAGATCAAAGCAAGGGTGTGCTTGGCGTAGTACGCTTGCCCCAAATGCAGGCTTGCGCCCGAATCTGTCCACAGAGTTCGAGGGCACTCCAAAACTCATGACCTCTTGCTCTGCGTGGCTTGCGCTCCCTACCAGCGGGTTTTGGGTTTGAATGGCCACCGCCACCGCGCCCCAGGCTGGGGAAACAACCGGCACAACCCCTTGGGCCTACGGCCCGGGCCTTGGGGAAGTTGGGAAGGTGGGGCTTTGGAAGGCTGGCAGGTGGACAGATGTTCTTGGCACCGGGTGGGGGCTCTACAGGACTTTTCTTTGTTTTGTGTGGGGCGCCCCATGAGGCCCATGAGGTCTGCAGCTACAAACCATGAGGTGAAGCAGAGATTTTGGACAGCTTGGGGTGAGAGAGCGTCGGATCCTGGGTTCACGTCCACTTCACGGTCCGGTCGTCCCAATTTCCGGAACACTCTGCTGCAGAGTGTTCATTCCCCCTCCCCATCCAGTGAATGGTGAGCATTCGGGCAATCACTGCTCCACTACATCTCAGCAACTGGTCATGGAAGAACTTCAGCATGTGGGAGCTCTTCAGATCTCCCATCGATCCATGTCGAGAAGCACAAGGTCATAGTCATAGTCTAACACTAAACTAACTCAGATAATCTCATATACTTCTTGAAAAAGAATTCCTATTTTTGAAGAAGACCTGTCTCTCAATGGCCAAGGCTCCTCTTAAGGGAGGAGAGGCTCTTCATTCTCTTCGGAGGGGGGGAGGGTTCTGTTGGAGGTTCCTTGGGGGACCTGGAAAAGCCCGACAACCTAGGCGAGGCGACAAGCAGGACAGCTCAGAGAAGGCATGGAGAGCGGAACGACGTGGACGTGGCCACGGGAGGACGAGAACGGACGCCGCGCAGAGTTTTCACCGAATCTCAAGGCATTCTTCAATATTCTTCATACAAATGGAAAAGGCTATACCAGGACCCCCAGTCGGGGTGGTTGAGTGGTTAATGGACACCCCGAATCACAGCTAAGGGTCTATAAATAGACACCCCGAACGAGTCGGGTCCTGGTATAGGAGTCCAACGGATGCGTTTCAATGGAAGATCTTCAAACAGCTGCGAATCGTGCCCACCTGGTGCGGGTGCCAACCGTCCCAACCGCCTTGCGAGGCCAATGGGATTTTCGAGCTCACCACTCGGGTGTCCGTGGCCCTGTTGGACTCGTGACGGGTGACCTCGTCCAGCGGGTGAACTGTCGACTTCTCGAGTCGCACTGACAGAGGCTGTTGGCATGTCTTGCAACCGCCCCTGTTCACTGGTTAGGCTGCTTCGGAGGCTAGAAGTTCTTATGAGATAGGAGCAAGTCCCAAGTCTCAGGCGTAGTACGTGGCAAAAAGCAGTGCCTTTGTTACCTCAGATTTGCTAGGGAGATTTCCTCAAGAATTGAACACCGGAGAGCCCTCCTCAGATGGTCCAGCTTCTTTAGACACTTGGGGTCCACCTCAAGGACCACGTGCTGTGGTGCTCATCACCGCGCTCAGGTTTGAGGAAGGAGAGGTGGGCAAACGAAAGACGCAAGCGTGTGGAGCCCGTGGGGGAGGAACTTCCTTTGCAGGAGAATGGGGTTCGAGTCAGGGTCAAGGCTTTTGTTTGAGCAACTTTTAGAGTTTCTTCGGCCATAGTTTTCCGGCCATAGTGAAGAGCACAACCGAGGTCCAGGCAAGTCGTGGAGGTGGCTTGCGGCAGCAACCACTCGGCGATTTTAGAGGTGTTGGAGACGGGAGGCTCAAAGAGGTGGTGGGGGGAATTCGCTTGGGGGTTGTGGTGGGTCGCCGCGAACACTATGGAAAGACGAAAAGATATGGAAAGACCAGGCCACTTGGAGAGTTGAAGAGTTGGTTTTGGAACCAAACCACTGCATGAGACTCGCCGTTCGTTGCTTCCCACCAGGCAAGAAACGCATGATCTCCCCCACTCATCGGACACCAAGCCGAACGTGGCGAGCGGGCAGAGGTGCTTCGGTTGGTCTATGGGACCCTATGCACGGCGACCACATCAATTCCCGCCGTTGGACTGGAGTTGGTCATACAAGAACGCTACTCGAGGCGAAGGACCAGCTTTGACCGGGTCGGACCTGTCTACGGGATTTCTTTCGGCGACCGGGCTTGGGGGATGAGCTGGTCAAGCTGAGGCCCGTGTCTGCGGCCAACGCCGAGCAGTGAGACTGGCCCAGTGGAACCGGGTGGTGAAGCTGTATGACATGGGTGGCTGTGGCTGTCGCTGTGGCGGTCGCTGTAGCAGTGTCTTTTTTGGGGTTTGGGATAGGTGTGGATCTACCATCCCAGCACCTTGCCAACGGTGAACAACTTCTTCTTTTTTCACATTCCAGGGTGTAGGCGAACAAACATGCTCCAGCAGTTGCACTCTGACTGTCTCTTCCTTTAAGGTGAGTCTGAGTGTAGTAGTTTTCCTGGGTGGATCCTCGCCCTCGGGGCGCCTCGGCGGTGGCACATGAGCTTCGTTCGGCGGTGAAACGCACTGATTTTTCGGGCCATGTCAGGCCGATTATTGTGAAATCCCGGCTTCTCACCTGCGGCAATGGCGCCAATGGACAGCTGGGTGCGCTCCAATCTGATTTCGACGTTGGGGGAGAGAAGAGGTCTTTTCTGCAGGTCCCGGATTGAACGGATGTGTGATGTGAGACCTAAATTCACGGAATCCTCTTTGAACCAAGCGAACCCCCATCTAGTGAACTTCATGCACCAAGGATAGGCTGAAAGGGGAAACACGGGGATATGTTGGCAGGCATTGACTTGGAATTGTCCGGAGTCGGCTCCTTTGATTTTCCAGCTGACTTTCGTTTCATGCAACTCCTGAATTAAAGCTTGACACTCGAGATTTCAGCTGGTGCAAAGAAGGCCCCCTGCTTGCAGATTCGTTTTGAAGATTGAAGTAGCTACTGCAACCTAAGACAACAACCATAGCAACTAAAGCACGCCGAGTGTGTTGTTCAACCCCTACAAATCGTGCTCATCACGCCACCCTTGCCCTTTTTCTACATACTTCAGGCAGACAAAAGTTTACTCTTGTTAGCCTTCTTACAAAACACTCTGAGGTCAGCGGCGGATCGATTAGCAAGTCTAACTTTCGTGGCAGGTGTGGGACGGTCAATTATCACACCCTTTTGAATCTATATATATATAATAGTAATAATAATAATAGGCTTTCCCGGGTGACAAATGACCCTTCCCTTGTCTCATGGTGTATGATTCTACGGGGGTAGGGTTGTCATGAGTTTCAACATCAACAAGCGCAACTTTCATCTGGCCAGTGTATATACCTCAGACGTTGATGCAATGCAGCCAGCAGCTCTCCAGTGGATATATATGCTGTTTGTAAGGCCTATAAGTGCCTTTCGATCACTTGCTGGACTGAAGTTCTTCGCGACACGTTCGTCCTCATCCTGTCACTGCCAGAATTGAATCGCAATTCTCTTTGCAAACCTGCTTTCTAGAACCCTTCTCCAAACCACTCCCTCCCCCCGTCTGTGTAGAAAACGCTTTGGAGCTTCGGCGCCAACCGCGCAAGCCAACTGCGCCGGCTGAAACTGGCGGTCAGGTCATGAGGAGACGTGGTGCCCTCGGTGGGGGGGTTGGGGGGAGGTCTTGGTAGATAATCACGGTGGGTCTGGGTGGGTGTCCGGCTGAAAGATGGAGAAGGCCCGGTTGCCAGGGGGTGTCCAAATTAATGCCAGTCTTTCCTCTCATTATACGATTTTCATTTATTTTCATTTATCTTTATTTTCATTGAACATCGTACAATGCATTCCGTCTTCTAACAAGCCTTTCATTTTTGTAAGAGATTGAAAGGCTTGGATGTGTAAGGGGGCCCCAGATCCAAGAAGGGGCCCAAGGAATCCTAGGCGAGCCACTGTGCCCCATCGGTTAACCCTTGATTTGTGGCTCGTTCCCCTTTATTTCCTTCGTGTTTTTGGGGTTATCGTTCATGCCAGTCACTCTCACCTCCAATCCTCTCCACCCGCCCCAGATCCAAGAAGGGGCCCAGTCAGACACGGCGGCCATGGAAAGAGCCCTCACGATACAGCCGATGGGATCACTTCGGTCGCCTTTTGCCCCTTCATTCTCCCATCTTCGCTGTTACCATCATAAGCGTATTGATGGTGTCCCAATCTCCAGTCTTTTTTGGGGGGGTTTGTGACTAGGAAGCACGTCCGTTTTCTTGCAGGTCTTGCCGTCTCACCAAGGAATCCTGGCTGCGAGCTGGACTGAGTTCCATGGACCTAGACCCAACAACCTCTGAAAAGGTAAGGACGTCCCAGTCACCAACCCAAAGCACCTCCAAAGGGCGGTAAGTGGATCGCTGCCAGCCTCCCGTCACCAACGTGCCAACTCTTCAAAAGAGGCACATGAAAAAAACAAACCAACATGAACAAGCGATGTTTTGTCCTTTCCTGGGAGGGTCTCAGGAAATCCTCTTGGGGGAACGACCTGGGCTCTCCTCGAACGCGCCTCGCGGTGAGCCTCGCGGCTCGGCTTTGCAGCGACCGGCGCGGCTCCGGCGTACCGGCGCGGTGGCCGGACCGGCGCCCACGGGTTCCGTGGTCGCCATGAGCCGCGATGCAGACTATGAGGAGTTCTTGGCCTTGAGGAAGCACGTGCGGAAGTTGCAGCAAGGCAGAGGGGAATGGTCGTTCTGGGACCTCAAGGTGGGCCGGGAAACTGGGGCAACATGAGGTTTCTATTATAGGGAAACGTGAACCAGTAGCTGATGGACTTGCGAGGTTCCAATAGCGGTGTGCCATTTTCGAAGGCAGAAGCCCAAAACAACAGGAGAGACACAACATAATGTAGAGGAGTTTGGGGGGGGCTTGTGCATAGTTGCAAAGATGCATATGCAAAAGAATCCGTAAAATTTGCCGATGGCATGATGGGTCATCCGTGCTCAGGCACACCCCTGCTCTTGAACATCCTGGGCGGACAAGAGGATCTGCAGATCTGTGCCGTGGAGTGGGAGTGCAGCGGAAGCTGTTCGACACCCCGACCTCTTTTCGGTGGTGGTCAATACAATGAACTACATCTACAATAAGATATCAAGGTACTGTAGAGGCTCCTTGACCGTGTGAGTCCAGTGTGTCATGGTGTCTCAGCGTCCAAACGCGTCGCCGGCGGAACTCCGAAGCGCTCCGTTCGCCGCTCCGCACCTCCGTGTGACGCTCGCGGCGTCTCGGTGACGCTCTGTGCGACGGTCCGAGGTGCTTTCCAAGTGTCCCAGGATTTGCAGACCTTGACGTGGCGCGAGTGCGAGGGCAACGGCCCCTCCCGACGGCTACCCTTGAGTGCCATTGGCTCGGTTCAGGAAACCAGCGTTCCTCGCAATGGAGGAGCGAGCTGGGGCAGTGGGTTGGAGGGGGGTCTAGGGGCAGTTGTTGTTTGGGGTTGGCAAGCTATATTAGTATACCAGTATACCAGGACCCTCCCGCAGTAACAGGTCACTACCTGCGACTTTTAAGTCTGCAAAAGCCTGAGGAGACCTGTTGCAAGGTCCTGGTATGTATATATATATATGATATATGTGTGTGTGTGTGTGAATATAATAGGGGTATGGTGTCTTCGTGAGGGGCAGATTTGGTTGGAGCTGGGTACCCGATGAGACCTGTTGAGGCATTTGGTGAGAAGCACCGAAAGCAAGAGCATTTGGACTTAAGGAGCTAAAGCCACTCATGTTTTCTTTGTTGTGTTTTCATGGCCCAAGAACTGGTGAGAGGAAGGCGGAGGGCAAGTGTTCAACCTCCAACCTCCACCTGTCCCTGCCCTCCTGCGCCAACTTTGCGTTTCGCAGGTGGCGGGGGGCACTTCGCCCTCCAGGTGCGCTTGCGGGAGGCCGTGCCCAATGTGCCACAGGCCTTTGAACTGATTTGCACTTCCAAAGAGGATACTTGGCACCTGGTGATGTGGTGATTGACCTCCATATAGTGATTGATTGACCTGTGGTGATTGAGGATGAACACTTCCACCACCTGCTGAAGAGCCGTGCGGTCTCCCCGGAATCGATTCCACACTGACGAGAGGAGGGCACTAAGGCGGACAGGAGACCAAACGCTCCGAGGGACCTTCGCTCCTGGGTCGGCGGGTCGGCTTTCGGCACCTTCTGGGACAGCGAGAAGCGAAGGAGTGGATATTTCGACCAGCACCCGACGGCCAACAGGTCACCAATTGATCCCCTGAGAGCTGAAGAACCCTCCATTTCGGAGACCGGAGGGTGCTGGTACTGGGTGCCTTCAAGAACTCTGAAGCCAACACTACCACCAACCGTTGGGCCATGGGTCGAGCCAGCGAAACCACGGACGAAGCCGAGGACTTGGACTCTTGGCACCAAGGGCTCCGGTTCCTCATGGGCGATGAGTCCGAGATGGCCTCGCCGGCCAAGGAGAGGATGCGGAAAAGGGGGAGCTCCGGTGGAAAAGGGGGGATTTAACATCGGCCAGCTTGGCCAGGCACAAGGGGCATTTTGATTAGGCAGCTTCCTTATGTTGATTCATCCCCCATGATTCTTCAATGCTCACTTCATCTCATTTCCGGAAGCCCAGGGTATAAGTTGGCTGAACTACAGGTAGCCGCGTGGCTTGAGAGACTTTTTTAAGATTTCACCCAACATTCTGGGTGATTCCAAAGTCAAAAAGCCCCACCAAGATGGACATACACCATTACAGGGTTGCCCACATCTCTCCAAGACACGGAACCCCTGCAGGAGTCGCGGACAGAGTCCAGGCCGGAAGAGAAGGCATCCTCCCGGGCTGCAAAGGCGCAGGAAGAGCTCTGTGAACGCTTGCAGCAAGAGAACCTGATGCTCAAAGAGAGTCTTGGGCTCTTCAATCTCATGACAACCTTGGAGAGAAAAGGTATGACATGACCACCCTTTCGGCCGGAGCTGATCCGATGAAGGTGGATCAGCATCCGAATCCCGCAGGGGAGGCCGCTGGCGCAACCCCAACCGCCCTGGTTGGGAAGCAAGTGGGGCGGTTCAAGGTCGGTTCTGGCAGCTTTTGCACAAGGCTGCAGGAGCCGTCCCGTCCAGTTCCAAACACAAAGTGGGCTCTGTCGGATTCAGGCACCAAATCAAAAATATCTGGGGCTTCGGAAGAGGCAATATATTTGTATGTATACTGTAAATGTATATATATATATATAAAATCTCTCCCTCTCTCTCTCTCACTCGCTCAGTCAGTCTGTCAGTCTGTTTGTCTGTGGTTCCAGCGCTTTCACGTTGACTGTGAGGATAGGCAAGTTCACGTTCTGGAGGTGCCGTGTTCCGGGTGAGTTGCAAGATTGAAGTGTCTTTTTCCCCGGTTTGGGGAGATTTTTTTGGAGCAGGAGGAAGCTCAGTTTCAGTTTTCTGTAGGATATTTCCTTGATGTGAGGAATGGGTCGTTTCTTCCTGAATAAGCTCTTCCTCATTGTTGTTGGATTTTCTCCCGCTGGAAACGCTCTGCTTGGTGACGATGTCTGCGGTATATTTTTTGGGGTGGTTGGGGGGGGCACAGGGCACATCTACACATATATACCCCATATCAGAGCCGATTGCCCCGCCAGCAAATCCAAGGATGATTAAACGGAAAGATGCGACGATTGCGGAGTCTTGGCGGATGATTTCATCTTTAGGACATGGGGTCCACACTTTGGGTTTGGATCACCTGGCCACCTACACAGCCTACACAGCCACACATGTAAAGTGCCACATTGGTTGGTCGTCAAGGACGTGAGCCCAGGATGGGCAGCAGCCCAAGCATGCATGTCTGTGGTAGTCTTACCGCATCTCCAGAGTTGAAACGGGCCCACAGATCCGCAGAGCCTCCGACCACCCCGGTCCCAGCGACACCGCGTGGGTGCCGCGTGGCCCCAGCCGTGCTCAGGAGCTCCTCAAGGACAGCAAGTCCATCAAGACGGAATCCACGTCCCGAGAGAGCGACGAGCACCTGCAGTTCCGCGAGGTGGCGATCCTGCGAAGGAAGAACAAACGCCTCCAGCGGCGGCCTGAGAGACGGGAGAGGGAAGGGTATGGTGGGTGGGAGTGGTGGCGTGTGAGAGATACGAAACCCGGAGTCTGGCAGTCTGGGTCGCTAGCTGCTTCGAGGAGTGAGCTGAAGTCCAAGCAGCACACCATCTCTGGGCTTTTGAAGCTCGTGGAACGCCTCTCTCAGCAGGATGAGACCTCTGCACACGAGACGGCCGAGGAGGACGCTGGGTTCCCTGCTTTCCCGGGTCGTGCCGGGCTGGGTAGGGCAGGGTCCAAAGAAATCAAGAAACGGAATTTGATTGAATTTACTCAACTGGATCTTCTCATATCTTGGACTTTGAACTTTTGATCTTTTGATATCTTTTTCTTGAACTCTACAGGAGGGGTCTTCTGGCTTTTCTCTCCGTGAGTTTTCCCTGAAGAGTGGATGTATATAGCCTTTGAACCCACTAATTAATTGCAATCAAAGCCTTTGTCTGACAGATGCTCAAAGACAAGAAGAAGAAGAAGAAGAAGAAGAAGAAGAAGAAGAAGAAGAAGAAGAAGAAG